AACTGCAATGAAATATGAAAATGTGACTAATATTTTATCCTATTCCAAGGATAGATGATTGTTTGGAAGCAATAGGAGGAATGAAGTCTTAAATATATTTGACCTTTATCAATGCTGTTTTCAAATTGACATCCCTCTGTTAGAAAGAGGTGAAACACTGTTTAAGCCGCCGGATGGCAAATACTAAAATACAAGGTTACCTATGGTCTCAGCTTGTGCACCGTTTGAATTCCAGCGATTGATGAATACAGTTTTAAATGGTTGTTAAACTATGGCGGCATATTCTTCCATAATTCTCAAAGCAATCGGATTCTTTTATTCTTCAATTCATTTAATAAATTGAAATCATCAGATATACGCATTGATTGGAAAGATATTCAGATAAAAGTATAAGTATTGTCGGTTCAAATTGTGATATTTTTTTTAACGGGCAGCTAAAGTGCAAAGCTTTCATTACACTTCGAATTCAAAACAATTTTCGCTCAATTGAATCACACTTGATAAATTATCACTTATGAACATGAATTTATTTTGATCAGCAGAGCCAATTCATTGTATACTTATGATAATTTTAAAACAAATGCAATGAAATTTAACACGAGCTGACATTTGCATAACCTTCAATTTAGCAGCTCAGATGAGTAAATAAAGTGGAGTAGACAGTAATTGTGGTTATTGAAAGGGGTATGTAAAGCAAAATCGCACTTCTGTTAAACTTTTTCAAATAATGATTTTCTGAAAGATCTTGTTTAAAAACTAGGTTTAACTTGAAAATCAGCATTGTGACTATTGTGGTTAAGCCGCAATTGAGGCCAAAAGGTAAACCATTTTCGAGTTATATCTCAGCAACCAAACATGATAGAAAACTGAAACTTGAGATAAACAATGCTCTAGTAGATAAGTATATGCATACAAAATGCTCTGATATTTTTTGTTCTCGAGTTATCAAAGAGGACCATTTTCCGTCATTTTGGTTTTTAAATCGACAGATTATGTTTTAGAAAGTTTTGCATTAGCAAAAAATAGTTCTTTTGACTTTGGCAACAGCCCTACGCAAGATAATAGCCATCGATGTATTCATTGTATACTTATGATAATTTTAAAACAAATGAAATGAAATTTAACACGAGCTGACATTTGCATAACCTTCAATTTAGCAGCTGTGATGAGTAAATAAAGGGGCGTAGATGATTACAGTATTTTGATTATTGAAATTTGTGAATTCTGATGAATCCTCGTCCTTGTTTAAGGATAAATGTTATTTCGTGCAATCCTGCATCATGTACTTGAGTCTAACTTGAATTAATAAAGTCCATCACCCTAGCTAATCGACTCGTCATTGTATACGCATTATAATTTCAGAACAAATAAATAAAATTCAACACAAGTTGACATTTAAATAACCTGCAATTTATCAATTAAGATTAGTAAATAAAATAAAGATTCGAAGGCCATCGCATGTGACTTCCACTGTTTCATTATCCTTGAACTTTTAGAGTTTTAGCTACATTCAAAACAGGCTTTCTATTGTCATCAAGGATGATATTTATTCAGATGTGAATTGATTAGTAAAAATGAGTAACTAAGCAATTAAAAGTCGAGTATAAAAATGCTTCAACGTGAAAAAATGATATCAGTTCAAGTTTAAAGCTTTTGAAGTTTCTTTCATTGTGTTTTTCAATTCCCTTACGACAGTTAAAATAAGTCAAAATGCAATTGAAAACAATTGTGTCTCTCGTCTTTTTCATGGCTCTATTTGCTTTCATTGGTACAAACATGGCCCATGCACAAGGTTAGTATTTAAACCGTTCAGATTTTGATAATAAATGATTTCATTTTCAAGTTTCAAGTTGATTCAATCCACATTTTTTATTAAATCCAATATAGAGAGAGCTCTTCCAAGTGGTCTAGACGATACTGCTAAAGGTGCTACAGGTGATCTAGTGAATACTGCTAAATTTCCTACAGGTGATGTAGGTGATACTCCAGTCGCAGCTTTGCCGAGTGCTGCAGGTCAACCAGGTTTAGTAGACCCGGATTTAATGAAATTGCAATCGGGGAAATGAACATGATGTAACTCGCATATGAAATTATGTAACGTTAACCACTAATAGATCGGACAATTTATGACATCGTTTTTATACAAAAAAGTAAATTTGATGGATCATCAAATTTAAACCATTTTGCTTAATTCAACCCTTGTGACTAAGATAAAATTAAATAAAATGAATAAATTATAAATGAAAATCTTTTCACTTTTTTTTTCTTACCAGGTCAACAGAAACAACCTCTATCTAGCGAATAAAGTTTAACATGTACATCTCAAAATGGAGGGTCTCTCTTTTTTAATTTTTATCCTTCCGAGTTAAGTTCTAAACTCTTTTTTGAAAATTGATTTAGTGATGAGGATCACAAAAATCATGTTTATTTTTCTGAGTTGAGCATAAAAAATCTTGGGCTTTCATTTTCTTCTATGGGATTAAACATGGACTTCAGAGTCTAATTAAATGCAAGTTTTTTTCCCTTGTCTTAATAGCTGAGCAAAATTTGTCCCATCATATTTTTGCAAAATTATGAGTACATTAACCCTAACAAAGCGATGAAGCGCTAATGGAAGCTGAGCGTCAAGCGAAGTATTTGTCAGAATATTTTGAGCATAAATATCTCATACATTTTCATATTTAATATTTGTAATGGCTGGTTTTGATGAACTAGAAATCTCTGATTCCAGGCTTTTCTGGCAACCTTCAATGCTTACGTGCATGATTTTTACGATTCCAGAAAGAATTCCAATAACTCATTATTTTATGGATTTTGAAAACTTGTGAGACATATGGACTATCCAAAAAATAATATGATAGCCGATAACGAAAAACGTAATGAGATTTAAATCGAAAATTGAATGCAGATATCTCACGAAGCACTTGTTACAGAATGATTACTTTCTCATTATGATAATTTAACCTTGATAATAAAGATTCGACCTTATTTTGACCTCTAATATCGATAGAGAAGATTTATGCAAATGACCTTGAATGACCATGACCTTGAAATATGACAATTGAGCATCGCCGAAATTTCTATAAACTAAATATCTTGCCTCAATGTTACTTAGGGGCAAAGTAATAGCCGATTAACAACGGTAAAATTAGCTGAAAGCCCTGTACTTTCACCGTATAGTACTGCATAATATAATGTACAACCATAATAAGAATTTATGATAATGTTTCAACTCATGGTTGAGTAACTCTGCCTCTGAATGATAGTAAAATCTTGGACTACGATTTAAGGTTTTGGCTCAGATATATTTGATAAGAGTGTTTGAAGAGGTGAAGTATGATTAAGTACTGCCAAGCATCACTTCCGAAAATAAGTAATTGGGTACAGAAATTCCACCAAAAACTAATTGTAACATTTCTGCACTGCTTACTGGTGAGCTGGTTTAATAACTGTGTCAAAGTAACGTGATCGTAGGTTGTTGGGAACATTTTTTAAAAAGTCAAAAGCTTTTTTGAAACCAAGATATTGGAATAGTTGATTGCCTTTTAGTAAATGTTGTGTAAAGGTTTTTCCAGAATACGTGAAAAGTCAAGGTGGAAGAAAGGGGAAAGAATAAACTGTTACGTGGTAAGGTTATCGTTATGGATGACGAAACTTATGTTTCTGTTGATCCAAACGATATTCCTGGTGTCGATGTCTTCTCAACTAAAGATGTTATAATTCCAATTTATTTTAAATCAACAATTATTAACCAAAACATTACAAATTAAGTTTGTCACCCGACTTATGCCTCACCCTTTAGTTTACAATGTCTCTCACTAATTCAAAAGACGCTCTGTTTAACTATAACGATTTGCAATAAACATCGATTTTACACGTTGTGAGGTTTCCTCGTGAGTAATAAACGCGCCAATGTGGGGTATTTTATGCTTACATATAGTAGAAGTTCAGAGGCAATAGACACAATGCTGAGTCCTTGTCAAGAAAAATGTCATACATGTATTATGACCGATTCAGTGTTTGGACGTCTAAGGGAATCATGGACCATTTATTGGTCTGCTTGACGAAAGCACCGCTTGAGTAATTGATTGATAGAAAATTTCCTTACATAACCAAAAAATTTGAAGATTCCAAAATGATTAGGCTGGGTTACAATGTGTTGGATTTTGGTTCACATTTTATCCTTATAAATTGATAACCAAAATTTATGCTCAAAGCCCAGTAATGAACATATGACAAGTTGAATATTTAAATCAATGGTAAGTTTGTGTGTTGATTCAAAAATTGCGTTTTAGGGGAAAGATTAACATAAAGCATTACCATAAAATATTATCCTATTAATCAACTGTATTCATAATCCTTAATCATTGTCTTATGCTAATATCGTCTATTGTACTAACAGAATGGAGAAACAAAAAAGTTGAACAGTAAAGAGGAAATTTTTCTTTTCTTCTGTCAACATGTTCTCAATACTTCATTCTAAGAATATTTTTCACTTTATACTTTCCATTAATATTTAATACATTGAGCTATCTTAATTCTCACGAAGCTCAGAATATTGGAAAACTCTAGTTCTAGACTTGTAATTTACGGAGCTTGACTCAGTCTGATAGTCAATAAAAATTTTCATCGATCCAACAAAGTATATCATTATTTATCATCAACGATATAAACTCAATATCGGTCAACTTGTTTACCATCAACTGGAATTTTCAAAAGAGTCAAATTTATTTTCCGGTAGATTTTCCAAAATATCAAGATCAGGGCACGATCGAATGTTAGGCAATAAAAGTAAGAGACTCCCTAATTAGAAAATTTTAATTTCGACTTCGAAGAATTGATACCATTTTGATGCGCTTCCGAAAACACATTCGAAAAAATCGAAAAAAGTATGTTTGACCTCCTTGAAACCTCAATAAACGTTATTGAAACATGTTAGTTGGTCAGAAGAGCACAAGTAAACTCAATGAAACTCTGAAAATTATTGATGGATTAATTACCTTTCTCTTGTGAGTCACTATATACTCGGCATCGGCTGTGGTCAGATGATAACTGGTGACAAGCTGAGAATTTCTGAAAACTGAGTCACCCTGATGACTTGACTTGTTGTTGTCCAATGAGATGAGTCCACTTGAACCTGATTTCTCTTGACCTTCCGATGCTGTCAGGGAAGCTGCTCGATTGGTAAACTGTAGTCTATTGTTGCTTCCTGATTTGGTCCTTTGCAGGCTTGTTGTTGTCGCTGAAGTGTTACCATGCAACTTGGAAGCCATCCTGGTGTAGGCAAATGTGATGATACCCAGAGGTAAAAAGTACTGAATCACAACGAGAAATTGATTGTAACCTCTCCAAATAGACTCCGACATTCCAATGTTGTCACAGGAAGGCCTAGTGGGAATGGTCAAGTTACCAGTGACCAATGAGCGTAGCCATTTATCATCGTGTGAATCAACGGCAGACTCGAGGTCAGGTACAAGGCGAACTCGCAAAGCAATTAGAGCTGGAATAGCAGCTATAACTGACCATGCCCATATGAAGATGATTATCATGCGAGCACGATACTTATTTATACGACAGTGTAATGGAGCGAAAACGACAAGATAACGGTCAGCTGCAATGGCGACAAGTGTGTAAATGGAAACGTTGACGGAAACAATTTGGATAAAGGGACAAAAGGCGCACATGAAGGGAGGTAAAATCCATTTTTGAAGGAGTGCAGCTTGAAATTGAAAGGGAATCGATAGGGCACCAATGAGTATATCCGCTGTTGCCAGGTTGGCTATGAACATGTTGGTCACTGTTCGTAGGCGAACCGATCCAACAACACAACAAAGTACAATAGTGTTGCCAATAACGGCAGTCAGTGAGACTATACCGTAGGCAAGAACCAGAAGTACAACAACTCCAAGTGGAAAGGAGTAGAGAAGCTCTTCCGAGAAGAGACTCAGTGTTTTATTGTAAGATTCAAAATTAATTTCATCATTTACACTGAAGGTAAAGTTGTCAAACATTTGATTTGTTGATAAAAGTTCTGTTGATGATATTGAGATAATGAGAAAGGAAAAGACAAAAGATGAGAATCAAATTTTTCACAGGCAATATTGAAATGCATGAATGGATAAATTTAAAACAAATCACTTTGAACGTAAATACTTTTAACGAAAACTTTTCAATCTCATTCTAAATGCAGATTTATATCCACATCTTGGGAGTTTGTTTTACTACGAAAATTTAAATAAATGTTCTTACCAATTGGGATCCTCTCTGGAATAGCTGATACTTTTAACAAAAGTGATGGAAACAAGTAAAGCCAAGTTCCAAATAGTTTGTAAACACTCATGGCTTTCCTGTCAAAAATAGCTGCAAACTTACTAACGATCAAGTTTCACTGATCAGATAGTTTTAGCAAACTGAATAGTAGAGAAAAGCATGTTCAGAATTTTTCACGTTTACAGCAAAAAAGGTTGAGTTGCGAGTCACCATCTACTGATTCGAAATTCAATTACATTCGTTCAATGAAATGATGAATAGCATTCGAATGGGAAAAGCGTCAGGCAAAATGAGTATCGATAGGAATGATTCAGATATCGATAAGAAAATGAGCGATTCGAGGACGGTAATGTGAGGGCATTTTATTTTCATTTTGCGTCTGTTGGCGGCATAACTTATAAACGATCAATGTTGCATTTCCAGAGTTGAATCATTAAACTCGAATTTAAATTCTAACCAACAGATGGTGACTTACAGCACAGCATTTCTCTTGGAAACTAAAGTTATTCTGAACATGTATTCTATCGCGATGCAGTTGACCAAAATGTGTCTGATCAGCAACACTTAGTCCAAAGTAAATTCTGTAAATAACAACATAACCATCATGAGTGTTTACAAACTATTTGGAACTTGGCTTTACTTGTTTCCATCACTTTTGTTAAAAGTATCAGCTATTCCAGAGAGAATCCCAATTGGTAAGAATATTGATCATTTTTTATTTATATTCATTCCCATTATTGATTGAGATTGTTGAGGAAAACTTTTTGCAGCCTTTAACGATCCTTAAGACCCTTTAGATCCTTTAGACTAAAAGTCCCAAGTTTAAATCCAAAACCTTATTCCCTGAAACACTTGAAGTTACAATTATTTCACCACAAAAAAAAGATGCAAAGCGAAGCGAAAATTTTGAAAAATATTTTTCGATTTTTTTAATAAACTAATTTGGTGAAAAATGTCGATCAAGGTGGAATATTTCCAGTTGGATATGCACCGATTCAAGATGCATTTGAATTGGCAATTCATCTTCACAACATGAACGAAGCAACATCACGTTTCAAAGCTGAACCAATTGTCAGGACAATCGATAACGATGATCCCTTCCAAGTGACCAGTAATTGTAAGTTATTGTTACAATTTACAATTGACCAAAAAGAAAACTCGAAAAGAAGAAAAAAAAACAAATTACAGAGAGAAAACATTTTCTTTATCCTTTTTTTCGATGATAAAAAATGAAAATCTTTTTACTCTTTCAACTATTAGTTTCAACAAACACCAATTTACATTCAAATATGAAATAAAATTTTGTCCTTTTTTCCTCTTCTTTGTCCACTTAGTGTGCCTTCAGCTGAACCAAGGTATATTTGCTATTGTTGTGCCAACAATGGATGCTTCATTTCAAACGATAGTTTCATATTCAAATACATTTCAGGTGAAGAAAAGAAAACTCGACTGAAAAGTTTTCACTTTTACCAAACTTTTATTCCCTTCCATTCAGATGCCTTTCATCCATTTGGCCTCACCAACAATGAACACTTCAAAGAAACCCATTTACGGCATTTCTCTTCGACCCAATTATCTTCCAGCAATCATTGACATTATCAAATTTTACAATTGGAAGGACATTATTTATCTCTACTTGAACGATGATGGTAAGAATAAATTTTTACTCAATTCGAATGAGCATTCACCTTCTGTTAATCATTTGGAAACATTGAGCTCAGCATGAAATCAATCAGAAAATATCAACATTTTTCTTCTATTATTTCTCATCATTCTTAATCCTCAGCATTTCATGTTGACATTCAAGTACTACTTTTGATTATCATTTTACTCTTTTTTTCTCTCTCTTCACTTTCTTCTTTTTCCTATCAACATCTTTATTATGCTGTTGTATAAGTGATGTGATATGATAATAATGATGATATTATGATGATATTATGATGATAGTAAATAGAGAACAGAATGGTTTGGGAGTGAAAAGAAGGAAAAAAAGTGTAGAAAAAGTTTGAAAATGTAATGCTAGGAATGTGTTTATTGAGAGGTTGACCCAAGGATAAAAGAAGAGATCAAAAGATTTACTCTGTAAGCCAAGCGTGCAACATTATAAAGGAATCAACGTACCATGTGAATCAGGAGAATGCAATATGAAAAGTTGAGTTTCAACATGTTCTTCATGTCTTTGGTACTTTGCCATCTTGAGATGAAAATTTTGATAGAAAATTTGCTTTCTCTTTTATTTCACTTCTTTTTTGTAATTCACCATTTTACTCCATTATAATGTAAAGTGAGTTTACATGAGTACCGATTATTTTTCATCATTTGTGATAAGCATCAGGGTAAAGGGAAAATTAATCTGCATCAAATGGAAAAGGAAAATGTTGCAGTATTAACATTGTTAACATGCACGGAGTAAACTTTGATTTTCATCAAATAAAGATGAGATTCCAATCAACCTGCAAAGGGAAAAATTCAGCGTTGATTCAGAGAAAAGAAGTGAGATTGAGATTTTTCGGTTCGAGAAAATTCGTTGAGTTTACATCAGTGAGTTATGAACTTTCATGAAAGAATATCTATTTTTTGGTTTCCAGTTTTCGACATATTAATATTATATGTTTTCAGTCTCGATTTTGTGCGATACAATTCATGGATAATTTATTTCCAGCAAGAAAATAGCGAACTAATCATTTCAGATCCAAGTGCTTAACACAGGTTTAACTTGACGCAGATTGTTCAATGAGCACTGACATTATTGGATCATTTTGCATTATTAGACAATTTTTTAATCCATTAACAGCTTAGCTCTGAGTATCGGTTCCTTTAACGTGAATTTAATCCCTCAAGTTTTGTTTAAATTGTGTTGAAGTTCGTCCTAGATTTGAATCAAAGTTCATGTTGGCTTGACTGACTCAAAGGTTACAAGCATTATTGGTTTCTCTTGCATTATTGAGACAAGTTGATAAGATAAAAGAGATTTGTATTGAGCTTTAAATAAACAAGAGTAACTTCAGTGACTACAGTTTTCCAAGCCTAGCAAAGTAGTCCCAAAGTTATAAAGTGGAGGTTGCAAATTATTAATGTTGACTTAATGTTTCAACTCAAAAAATAGTTTGAACCATGATTATAGCTGTAAAACTCAACGAGACAGAGTTCAAAGCCTATTCCAGCCTAGAGTCCTTTATTTTGTACCCAATAAGACCTAAGATTAAAGGGTCAAATAAGCAAGCCAAGAGTACAGAAACTTGATCTTCTAACGGAATTCATTGTTAAACAAGATATTATGCAGCTATAAATACGATATCTTCAGTTGAATAACCCAGTGTATGATAACCACTAGTTACTGAAACTGTTATTTGTAAATTTCGGCTTCATTTTTTATTCTTGCTGCTCAAATGTGCGAAAAAATTCCATATCTTCTCATAATTAAATTATAGATGATCAAACTTTATTGACCCTTTATTAATGTGACCTAGGCCTTCGCTCTCTTGCATTAAATCTCACATCAACTCATGTAGATGTTTGACTAACTCATAAAAGCCACAAATGGCTACTAACTTTAATGAGGTATCGAGATTTATATTGCACATAAATATGATTTTGCATAAAGCTCCATGATGCATCTACATGTATAATAATAATTTATTAAGTTGAGCGAAAACTGTGGTTGATTCTCTAACAGTTCTCTAACTTTTTCGGTTATTTAGTTTAAACAAAATTTCCATGATATCCCAAAGGAGTTGAATAGCTGAGTAATTGCTGAAATGAAGATACAAAATATGAAAGAGGAAAGTGTGTCATCCTCTATTACATGAAGCTAATCTGCTAACAACAACAAAACAAAGTCATAATGTTGATGAATAACAGACAAAGAATAACTATAAATATCTTTTAATCAAGAAAACTCACCTTTATCTGATGTGGATTCCAAACTGACCTTAACTAAAACACTCCTCTCTCTCTCTCTAACAATAGCACGTAATTCACCAGAGAAATGTTTATTTTTGAGAAGCGGAATTTCGCTATAATCTGATAATCATAATAGGTATTGAGTTATGAGTAAATGATCCATAATAGTTTATTTTGTCACGAACAATTTCCCTTGTTTTCCTTGTGCAAATTGATTGGCATCGAAACAAGAAAGGTGAACAAAATGTATCCAATTTTATTCGTGAAAATTGATGTTGAATTATTATTTATAATACAATATATCAAAATTAAATGTCAAACTTACTCACGGTTATCTGGTTTTCATCATTCATTTCGCTTCTCTTTTGTCTTTAAACTTGTGGCTTTCCCAATGTTTCACCTTCCATATTATTATTTATAACATTTCAAACAGTTTTCCCATGTAATCATGTTTATCACTTTTCCTATTCTCAAACTCGTATCATTGGCAGAATGCCTTCAATTCATGGATTTTCTCCTGTTTTCCATTTTGAATGGAAAAATGTTCTAACAATGGATTCTCATCAATTTACTGAGAAAAATATTCTCCTCAAACCTTGTTATTCGTTTTGCAAAGAGCATTATTTGAAAACAATATTGAATATCATGTTCATTTCACATGAAAACACATTCAACTTTCATGTATTTACCATTGCAATTATCATTCATCAAGCTAATAAGATTTGAAGAAATTTTCAATTTTCTTTTCCCTTTCAAGTTGGCGGAAAAGGTTGATTCCATGAAAATGCATGAAAGTCTCGAACTTTGCAAAATGAGAAAAGAGAAAAAAAAGTTTATTAATTACCCAGTTTACGATTAATTAGCTGATCATGATAACAAATCGATTCTGTTTAATATTCCAACAAGAGGCAACTTTTACGATGTATTAATTTGAATATTTACTGAACAAGTGTATCAATAAACATGAAGAATTACAATAATGGAGAAAAGTGTAATTAAAGCATTACCATGAAGCATTTGAGGATGAAAAATGAAGTTGAAAGGAAGTGAAAAGTTCATCAATCATGGTCAACTGATTAAATGTAATTAACAGATAATTTATCTCAATAAATTTCCATTCCAATCTGGCTAATGTTTCGAAACGAAAATTGAATCTGACCATCTTTAGCATTCGATTTATGGAACTCGAGTTATTCTGAAAAAATCTTGGATCGATTTGACGTTTGAATTTCTCTTTTTCGAATTTTGACTTTGGCAAAAATTGCAAAGAAAATATTTTAAGTTCTATTCAGATAATACGAATCTTCTTTTTCTGATCACCTTCTGGTTCTGATCCATTTTTCATTTCATTATGCATTTGTTGAGTAATGCAAAAATGCTTTGGATTTCCAGCTATTTTGACATTCATTGATGAAGGTTTTTGAGTTTGGTTTGTACACTTTTACCTGGTTGGAGGTTATCAGGAAGCTGCAATGAAAGAGATTGATTAAGCTGGAGTTGTCTGGGTTAAAGTCGAAGACGATGAAAAATGATGAAATGTGATTAAGAAATAATGTAAAAGATGAATAAAGGTGAACGATTTAATATTAAATGATCAACTGTGCAACTTGAAAATGATGGTTTATTTCCTTGCAACAGGATTAGTCTCTTCTTTACACAAAATTGGTTAAGTTGTTGACTACAAAATTGAATATCATTGAATATCATGCTGACTATCTATTCATTTCCGTGCATTATTCATTCACTTGCAAAATTCTTTACCAAACTCAACATTTTCTATCAACATTTTTATTGCTTTTTCTGCCCAAATGTAAACCAAAACACAAATTTTGGAAAATAAATTCTGTCAAATTCTTGAGATGCTCAATGTTATCCTCAATAGAAAAGACCAGAGAATTGCAAAAAAATTCAAAAGCCATAAAAATGTTAATTACTTTTCAACTCTATTCTTTAGCATTCTAACGAACAAGATTCAATACTTTTAGACTCAACAGTTTTGTCCTTCAATCTCATGCAACAGATTTAGATTCTCAAGAGTCGATTTTATTTTCGAACTTGAACTTTTCTATAATGTTGTCGTTCTTGAATATTAGTGAAAGTCGACGTTTATCGACTATTACTTTTTGGCTTTTGAAATTGCACATATTTGATTGAGAATCATCATCATGAAATGCATATAAACCTTTGCATCAACATTTGTTATAACTTTTCTTTTAATGGATTTTGAATGATTTTCCCAACAATTATGAGCAAAGTAAAAAAAGCTTCAACTTGATCATTAAAATGATCTTAGGATTTCAATAATGAGTTTTTTTCTCACTTTCATCAGAAAGTTCAAAAGTTTAGAAAAGGAAATTTCCTCTTCACTTTACACCTAATTCATCTTTTTACTTACACCTATTTCATTTTCTTCATTTTCTTCCACTCTATTATACCATGAATCAATTTATGTTCCATCATGATGATAATCATAATTACAAATATAATCAACAGGGAGGTGAAAAAATGTATTGCCTTTTAAATTAGAATCATTCCTTTACTGTCACAGACCGAAGACTGCATAACTTTCACCATCTCAGGGTTGCTCTAATTTTGCCCAAACCGAAAGGAAAGTTACTTGACTCGACTAAAAATTAACATTTCAGTCCTTAGTCGAGTAGCTGTGGATTCTTGACTCATCATAAAAATCATCCAAAAATTGAAGAACCATAAATCCAGAGTTTAAAGGACGTTCAAGATCATTCAG